TCTTGATTATACAGTATTTTTCTTAGATAAGATTGAACTATGGCCTACTGTAGACCTGTTCAAACCATACTGCCCAGCAACATCAGACATCTTCTGCCCACTCTCTACCTTTGCTATTATACTCTCACCTTTTAAAAATAAAAACCAATGCAAAACTTAACGAATGCCCGCCTGACAGTCTTGTGATTACTATAAAAGTATTGTTTCTGTCAGAAAAATAAAAAGCTGAAATTACAAGGGAGAATTTCAAAGTTTGGAGGAGTACTATCTGTTCAGTATATACCAGGTTGAGCATCAATGTCAATGTCTCTCATGCTTCGGAAAGTTTCGAATTGTTGCCTGAAGACAAGAGGAGACCAATTGGTATTCATTATTTTACGTCGCTTCTTCTTGTGTTTGTTCTGTGAAGTATTCGTTATCTCAACTGTTCATTAACCTTATTTTCTAAATTTATTTTTACTGTAACATAGCATCTAGAGTAGGATTGAGCTATTTGGTATATATTTCATGCAGTTGCTTTATAAAATATTTAGAACATATTGGAAGAATAGACAGAGTTTGAACTTGATATTATATTCTAAATTTTTTTTTATTATTTTAAGTTTTTATTAATCATAAAGAAGTTGTTTCAATACTGTTTTTTTAATATAGCATAATTTATTTATAAAAGTGTAAACAAGTAGATTTAAAAATAAAATTCACTCAGTCAATACTCAATTGTTAAAAAAAAATAACACCATTTTTACTTTGTACAGAATGAGAATATTCTATTATAGTATTTGTTTATAATTTATTATCATCATATTCATATATTCATGTTTCTGAGAAAATGTAGCAGGTTGCACATGTCAGCAAACTTGGTGAATTTTCCCAGAAAGATGGGAAATCCCAGGTGTTTGAAGATGGTGATTGTTTATATTTTTGAATTTAAAATAATAATGGTATAATTTTATATTTTGTTTGTGTGTGTGTGTTTCTATATATATACAATTTTGAAATGTTCTGTAAAATTTTGTTTATACTGTAATACAATACATTTAATATATGAATGAATTCTAAGAAAAATTTTATTGGAAATATTATATGTATGTTTTACTCTGGTTAGTTGACTTATAAATCATTTGCTAAGTATAATCTGTAATAATTTTTCTATGATTATAATTAATAAATTTCATTGACAAAAATTTGTTAAATATAGATAAACAAACTGCAAAATGACATATGGCATTCATAGTAAAATATTTTTTACTTACATAAAATAATTATTTAAAAGATGAATTTATTGAAAATATTCAAATAAATTTTTATTGATATCAGAAAAGTTTGGATATATTCCAGACCTTGACAATGCTTTGATATACATTTCAATACTATTAATTTTTGATTTTAGTATCGATTTTTTGAGTGCTAATATTTTCATATAATACTGAGCTCTTTTATTATTAAATGAATAGATTTTATTATAATTCAGTTCGAATAATTAGTCAAGTCATCCTCCTCTCTATATAAAGCAATAACCAGTATTCAACCTTTTTATATCATCATAAATGTTATATAAAAGTATATCTTGGCTATATAACTCACAATTCAAACATTTTATTGCAAACATTCAAAAATTGTTACAAATTACATATATACAGAAAGTTTTATCTATAAAATTACTTTATTATAGAGTAATAAAAACTTTATATTGTTCTTTTTATAACAGATATAAAATATTATTTTAGATGTGCAAAGACTTGTTTAAATTCATTATCATTTAAAGGTTAAAAACATTTCTTTTATCTAACATAATAATAAAATTATGTAGATATCTAGAATTGTTAGGAAATCCAAGCATATTTGAAATGACAATTGTTCAAAATTATATTTATCTTAGAAGAGGTTAATTGATGTTTAAGTGTCTTATGAAATTGGTTTTATCCAGACATAATAAAATTATATGACGAAGAAAATAAAGTGAAATGTGAAGTCAAAGAACCATAAATTTGTTGTTTGTAAAGTAAATAAAATCAGTGCCTTATTTATCAGCTTTAATTATTGAATTTAATGCTTAAAATTTGTGAAAATATTTTAATTCTTTTTAATTGATAAATTCTTTCTAAACATTTTTTTAAAGAATTTAATTTACGTTATTTTGTTATTTGATATAAAGAAAAAATATGTAAATAAATAAATAAAAATATGTGTATGTGTGTGTGTATGTATATTTATTTATTTATTTTTACATATTAGCTGTTTATCTCCGATGTAGCTGTTATATTGATAAACTACTAATTTTAGTACTTATTTTTTTTCCTGTTTATCATTTCAGATGTTAAAATTCCCACACAACTACAGAATTCTTAAAAGTTTTTTATTAAAAACTCTATAATTAAAAAATGTATAATTTGTTTTCTACTGTATAATCCTAATTTATATTTTAATACACTCCAAATATGTGTTAGACAACACACATTACTTATTAGGCAATACAGGATATCAAAATTATTGTGAAGTCTTTATTTTTTACATTCTGCATTTTGTCCTTGTTACAAAAGGAGTCCATCAATTTTTTATAACAAATCTTTCTTATTTATTAATTAATCACTGCTTTGTGTTAGCACATTATCTTTCTCATTAAATAACTGACTTTCTCTAAATATTTTAGTAATATTTTATGATTTACCATTTATTTTTCTTATTTTTTAGATGTAACCATAATTCAACTTTAGTTTATCAAATAATTACCACTAAATAATAAAACTTTTCATTTGTTCAGATCATTAAAAACACATTATATTTCTATATTTTTAGTTTAATTTGCTTTTTGTTATATTTATTTAAATATATCAGTTTATATAATTTTTTCCCTTCTAACTCCTTCAATTATCTCTTGCCTTCTCAATTAGAATTAGAAGGAAAGAATAATGTAGAATGTAAAAAATAAATTTGGATATATCAACTTACTTAATTTTAAATTTTTTCAGTATTTAAATGATCAGCTTTATATCATGTAATTTTATAGGCTGTTTCAAAGGCAGATATTAAATTTTATTCATCTATATATCATGCTTTACATAATACTTAATGTATTAAAATGTCATTTAGTAATTCATATGACAGCTTAAAAAGTATGTGCAAATGGTGACAGAATGAAACTTAAGATTTTTGAATTATTATTGTTCACAACACTTAAATTTATGATGGTGCACCAATCCAGTGATTCAGGAAGCCTTAGATATTCAAAATGTTTAGATAGAATCTGTAGCATAGTACAATTCATGCACAGGAGAAAGAATAATGGACATACTGAAAGTATGAAAAGAAAATAGCAAGTACAAAGACTTTAGTTCATAAAATACTTTTGGGTACATCATTATTTATTAAACTTCAAGTTTATTGTAGTTCTGTAGAAAGATAAATATTCAGATGTATATACTACTTACATATATTAATTCTTTAGTCTTTTCTGGTTATCAAAATAAATTACATTATATATGTGAAAAGACATCAATAATATAAAACTATCTAGTGATATGCCTTAGACTTTATTCAGATAAGCTTCCCCAGATATCTGTTTAGATATTTGCAATACATATTTTTAATATTAATCATAATAAAGCATATCTTATTATTAAAATGAATATTACAATTACATTTAAATTAAATTTATATTGTTTATTTTATTCAGGAATCAGTTAAAGTACAAATTCCATATTATACCTTAATAAATTGTTGCAAAATAATCAGTATTTACTAATTAATAATATTTTTATAAATAATTAAAAATATACATAATTAGTAAATACTGAATATTCTGAACAGAATTTAAATTTTTTTTAAAAATATACATAAATAAATATATTTTTAAAAAATTTTAAATCCTCTTCAGTAGAAGGTTAATAAAAATAAAAAATATTTAACTGCAAATTTATAAATTGACCTTTGTGTTTTATCATTAACAATTTTCTGCTCAACTGATCAGTTTAGAAGCAGATAAGAATACTGCTATAATTTGTTTTTTAAGTTTAAATTTAAATATATTTTTAAACTGTTGTAAGTGTTTTTAATTAAGTAATGAATGAATAACATTTTTGTTTAATATAAATATCTCTTGCAGGAAAGATCCCTTTAAAAATTTAAATAACTTTCTGAAAATTTGAGAATAATTATGGTATAATTTAATAAAATCTTTGCATGCTGCTATTATATTTATTGATTTGTTAGAGAAGTTTTTCAAAATAAATCTCTTAAAGATTTTTGTATTTTAAATTCACCAAACCTTTCCATTCAAGTTGAAGTATGGGAAATATGGAAAATGGATATTGCTACATTATTCATTTTTGCAGAAATTGAAGGGGTTATTTGCAAAATTGTTAATGGAAAATTTGCCTTCTAGCTAAGTGATTAATGTCTATTAAAACAAACTAGCCTTCGGCATTGACAGGTAAATGTTTAATTAACCAGAAAGAATTTGAAGAATTTAAAAAGAAAAAACTTATAAGCATTTTGACATAAAACTTTAAAATTTTTAACACGTCCACGTTTTATTAAGCAATGCACATAAATACTAGATTCACACATCACTTAAATCTTACATTAAACATGGATTTTATAACCGGAAAAACATTAATAAATCAAAGCAAGCAGACAGACGTTTCTGCACTTTTCATAAGGTTGGCAAGTACAGTATGTGCAGTCTTCTGTTTGAGGGACAAAAAGGCCAGATATTAAAATGTATAGGTTTTTCCAAGATTTCGGGAATTTTTATTTTTATAAAATATGTGGAGAAAATAGCACATTTTTTTCCAATTTCCATTATATGAAATTCAATGGAAAATTTTCCAATTTCCATTGGTTCATCTTAAGACGTTTTATTCTTTACACGTACGTTTATTTTTTCCACATTTGCTGCTATTGGTAGAAAGCCTTAGGCAATCGTTCTACTTGGTTGACTACAGTCTAGTTTGTAAGTGTATTAAATCTAAGGAAAACATTCTACGCGGTAATTTATTATTTGTGAAAAAATACTAACCAGCAGCAGCCGGATTTCGGTAACAGTGAGTATTTTTTCCCCCGCGTTTTGTTTTTATTTGCCAGCCCTTCTTTTTGTTGCATCTATTCTGTTAACTTTTAACCCACATAAATTACAAATCGTTGACGTTTAAGCGCTCTGTACTTTGATTTATTTCTTTTTTTAAAGAAAGAAATAAATCAAAGTACAGAGCGCTTGAACGTCAACGATCGAGACGATAATTTTGTTAGAAACGTTTAAAATCGTGCTCGTATCGATGCATTAATTTAAAATGTTCTGATGTAAAACGATATCGTTGAACTATTACTCGTGGAAGGCTAGCAGCAGGAGGAGGAAAGTTTTTGTATTTGTCCTCGGTTACTATTGTTTTAATCGCGTACAAGGTGGTTTATTACTCATAGACTACGACTTTTGTACGCTTAAGAATCGTGTTTCGTGATAATAACTGTTGCGTTTTCTTGTTTCCGAGTCGTTTTTAACGCGTAAACGAGTTTAAAATCACGTCTGTAGTCCCTAAAAAAAGTTGACTTACCAAGGGTTCGATCGCTGGCCATTAAATGCCATATTTAGACGTAAGAGGTTAGTGGGACGGCTATTTGCGTAATATTATCGAAATGGGGATAAGAATATAAAAGGATCTCTATAGCCATATAAATGATGATAATACTTCTAAACGGTACTTCATATAGTTTTTTAAATGTTTTTTTTCCTGACGAACAGGTCAAGGATGCGGCGAAAGTGCGCTTGATCTGTTTACCGTGAAGGGCATTTAGTAATCTCATTAGATAAAATATCGTTTTTTAAATGTATTTATTGGTTCAGGAATATATTTTCTGAACAAAGATCAAATATATAAAAATGTTTTTTTTAACTTCAAGTACGTTGCTATATTCTTAAAATTGAAATATTGATCAGTTTATTCGTCATGGCATCCATTTTATTCAATAATTTTATACTTATCACAAGACATTTAATTAATTAATAAGTTAGTTTCATTTTTATGATATTTCCAAGTTATAATGTACAGTACACCTGCCTATATTTAAAACGTTTTTGGTCATTCTAAAGATTACTGATATTTTATCAAAGCGTAATCGCGCTTTTCTTCTTTTTATAAATTTCGCAACTGCCAGCAACAAAAGTTGTTTTACTGGTAATATATTACTATCTTCAATCTCCACTCATCTCACTTCCATCCCCTATTGCTTTATAATGACGACAGATTACAGTTTAAAACTTTAATTCTCACGGATGCCTTTCTTTTCATACGCGTTACATATATTGTGGATGGGGTAAACGATGCGTGAAGCTTCACGCGTCAATAACTCTACATTTTTGTACTGGCATGTTCCAGGAACGGATCTCCTGATTTTTGCCTCCACTAATTTGTTACGTAGCTAGAATGCATTGTTTAATTCGTGTGGAATTTTATTATTTATGGCTGACAAAAGAGAGAGAATCGAGTACGTTGCTGACGTCAGAACACGGTATTAAAATATTCATAATGGAAGAGAAACGATGCCAACTTTTAGCAAGCCGTCTTATCAAATTGCCAAACAAGATTACCCCACCCGTTGTTCGATAAAGATCGTTAATGTTAGTCTCTTGTATAGTGGAACGTAAATTTAGGCGTTTTGTGCTATTAATAGATAAGGATTATGTGCAACTTATATTTTTAGTAATTGTACGGGATCGCCTCGTGAATGTTTAATTAGAGAGAGAAAAGGAAACATCCATTATGACGAAACGTGGCTCGCTTCTTACATCGTTTCGTCACGTGTTTTTAACGATTTATATATTATCTTTATGACTTTAGAAGATCGTGTTTATATAAATTCCTTTGATAAAATATTCGTGGAGTAAAACAAATATTTAAAACATATCTCGGACGATAAAACGCGATTTGGGTCACTTAACTCAAACAAGACAAAACTTTGCGGGGGGTTTATTTAGTTTTTAGATTTTTTTTTGAAAAATTGTTTGCCTATTCGGTTAAATTAGTAAATGCTACGTCGAGTGTGAATTATTGTTACGTTTTTCAATTAAGAATCGAGCAAATTACGGTCATTTATGATAGATTGATTCGAAAATTGCAAATGGCGATTGTGTAGATTTCAGTTGCCGTTTTTTACGCGCGTGAATTTTGAACGTTTTATTATAAGCAGATACGTTTCAGTTGTTAACTAGGAGAATATTTAGAAGGTAATCGATGTTATCGGAAGGTTATTAAAGTTAAAAAACGAGGCGGGTAAGCAGGAAATATTTTACGTTAAGGTCGGACGTCCGGTAATTGGTGACCGTAACGCCTTTTGTTACTTTTGATGTAACGTTTCGAACCGGAAGCAATGAAAAAGTGAGATTTTTGGAAGTTTTATTGGCGTTACGATAATAAACTACACGTTAAGATGTTATGGATTTATCATTGTTATTTATTTACCCTTTATTTTGTATTGCTAGGCCGAAACGGCTGGAAATGGGATTCGGAGAAGTAAAACTGGATGCAGGCGCTGCCAGAAAACGCCTAGCGATATCACAGGACCCGTCTACTTTCTATTACGCGAGCAGGCCAAATCACAAGTTGCCATAAGGGTGAGTAAGATTTAAAAATTTTAATATAAGAATTTCATAAAGAAAACATTTTAAAAAACGAAAGTGTCCGTATCGTCATTTCAAATCTTATTAGCTAACGTGTCGATTTGCGACACTCGCGTGCGTTCCGAAACGAGTAAGATTTATTTTCTTTTTTAATAAAATCTATAAAATGTTAGTGTAATAAAGGCACGTCTACAGTCGTCGTTTCTATTCCGAAGTTTCGTCAAGGTCGTACTCAGGTGCTGCGTGATGATACAGCTGTTATATCCGATATGTCATACAAACTGACGCAGGACAAATATTAACATTCGTAAGATACCATTGGATGCTATCGCGATCATAATTTGATAACACGTTACAACATCGTAATTGAAATAGGACGTGACGATTTTAATAAATATTCTATACACAGACACACATTCTTATATATATATAATCTGCTGGAAATAAATCTTTGACTTTCTCCTTGATAAAGTTATCAGTAATTGGCAGAGCAATCGTTAGTTGTCGCAGCTCAAAACCGGTTGATTTACCTTATCGTGTATCCAATATATTCTGCGTCGCAGGTGGAACTTTGCCTTTATTTCTCCGGCACCAGCTATAGAATTACAGGTTTTCTTAATGAACTGCCATGCCGTTTAATGCCGCATCGGAAGACTAATACGCATTTTTATCTCTGGTTTTAATTCTCATCTGCCTTTTTATAATTTTGGTTATTTAATTATTGGCCGCTTTGGCGAGGTGAGTATTTAATTTCGAATGAGCGGCAACCAATAGCATTTAATGCTTTTAGCTTAATTTTCATTAGTCATGTTGATAAAATTGCTATTATGTTAACTGTGAATTATATAATGATAAAACTCGATTTTATTTATCGTCGCCATTGTCACAATCGTCGTTATCGTCAGTTCACATTCAAAGATGATGATTACAAATGAGAAAGTTATATTTAACATGAGACAATATAAAACATAATTGAGCAACTTTTAATTCTTATTCCTGATGGATTTGCATTGTCCTATTGATCCCAGTGGATCTTCTTGTTTGATCAGTTTTCTCTAGTTTTGTTTTAGGATACGTTTAATTTTCACAACAGAAGAGTGCATTTGTGTTTCGAGAAGACATACTGAATATATAGTACAATTAAATGCATACAAAAAGTGTAAATAATATTTATATTTTTATATATATTTTTGGATTCTATGAGCTTTTTTGTTCATGATATAAGAATCATTCATTATTTACTTGGTTATGGTACTTACAATCGTATATAATTTATTTTGGGCATTTTTTTCGACATACATATAAATTTAATTAGAAATGTTTCATATTTAAATGTTACTTTTTTTTTCATTATTTGAAATATATCTAGTATATATAGTTTTTATTCACGATATTGTAGAAATATCTGACAAAGTTGGCACATGTACAGTGTTTTTCTTCTGAAGAACTAGTGGCACATAAATCACAATATTCTTTAGAAACAATATATTACAGTTGACTCAAATTTTCCTCATTTTCATCACCATACAGAAGTTTTCATTACTATCATCATTAAGGCTAATATTATCATCACTAACGCTTATACAGAGTGTATAATTTTTCTCTTATACACTTTGTAAAAATGTACAAAGAAGTAAGAAAATAGAATAACAATGTGAACTGAACTAAAGCACGAACAGAAACGAAATCAAATTCTAACACAAGAAACAAATTTTGCACCTGTGTTACTCTTTCATTTTTAGAAAGAAAGAAAATCTAAATTAAAAGATAAGAAATGCAGATAAGAGAAACTTAGAGAAAACAAATATGCAGAAAAAATNATCCTATGGATATTTTGTTTCCAGCCTAAAGCAACTGGAGAACATAAAACAAAACCCACTCAAGCAAATGTGAGAGAATTAAGAGGTCTTGGTTTATCACCAGATTTTGTAAGTGTAATTTTATGAATTAAATTTTTAAAGTTTATCAAAAAATTTAAAATATGGAGTTTTAAATATGGAATATTTAAAACTCCAATTATGTACTTGCAGTTGTTATTATATCTCAAAATATAAATTTTATGCCTTTTTAAATTGTGTTTTCATCATTTTAATACAAAAACAAAATTTCCATGTAAAGTACTGCACATGCTAAGATTATAACATAACCTAAACTCTGATAATACCAATACTGTTTCATTTACAGATTTTAATTGCTAAAAAAAATTAAATAAAAACATTTATTTTGAATAAAGTTATCATTTTTAAACTAAATTACTTTAAAATTTTGCTCTTATTGAAAGAGTTTTGTCTTGTGTCTTACTTTCAATACTTGCATAGTGTCTATTGCCCTATCTGAATAATTCTCTGTACTATCAAGGGCAGTGATGATTGGTGAACAATATTTAATAATAATTTTTATACACTTGGATGGTTTTAGTTTCTTACTTTTAAAACTTTTGAAATTATGTTTAGTGCTTTTGCTATGGATGAATATTAAAAGGGAAAATAAGAAATTGAAGATAATTGTTTTATAATGAGTAAAAATTGCAACGATTATGCGATAAGCTTTTATTATTTTAATTACTTTCGTGTTTTCACTTTATAGAATGACCTTATTCTTTACCATTGTTATTTCCTGTAATTGTCAGTAATAATACTGAAATCTTGGCTAGCCAAGCTAGTACTGCTTGAGGCAAGTTTGACTAGAAAATTTATTTTTATCCTCTTCAAAAGTAGTTGTAAATCATTTACAAAGTATAAACGTTTTAATGATTAGAAAAGTTATGATTCATGCTATTGTTCTAGAGTACTAAGACAAGATACAAATTTTATAATTATAGTTTATGTATAGAAAAAGTCAGTTGAATAATTAACATAATTCTATTTTTTCTTAATTCAGGATTTACAAGAACAGTTGAAAGTTGTCGAAGGCCGTCAGGAGGATATGGTTCTAGCCATTCATGACATTCAAAACCACCTCGTATGTTTTAAAGATCATATAAATGAATTTCCTCCAATACAGCAGAAGTGCACATGTAATACAGAAAAATTAAAATCTTGTGATATATCAAGGATTTCCAATAATAAGAATGTTACATCAAATAGAAAACTCAATGTTTCTGCTAAAAGAGAAAATTTTATGCCTTCTGAAGATGTTTCCATAACATCTGCTTCTAAATTAAATCAAATTAACTGCATATCTAAACAAGATGAAAAGTCTAATATGACTGTAGATACAGTTATTGTTGACATAGATAATAAACAAGATAGTGGATTAGAATCCGATTGCCGTGAACAAGGACATGACAGCACTTACACACTCACAGATAGTGTTAGATATGTGGGAGAGAATCGTGACATTAATGACGGAAGCATTTTAAGTTCTAAAGATGAACTATCATTACTTCTTGATATGATTAGTCAAAGAGGATTATACCTACAACAAGAAGTTGCAGAACTAAAAAAACAGAAAACTATGGCAGAAGAAATACCTTTAGAAAGTAAACAAGAAGTTAAAAAACTGCATAATGATAATGTTCAATTACAACAACAGTTATCAGCAGTAGAAGAAGAGAGAGAAAATTTAAGAATACAGTTGTCTCATTTAGAATCGGCTAGTCAGAAAATGGAAAGTGAACGAAAGAGACTTCAAGAGAGATTAGATGCAGCTATGTCAGAGAAACAGCAGCTTGTATCGCGAATTGACGGACTTCACATGCAGTTTGTAAAACACGAAAACGGCATATCTAAACCTGGCAAGAACAGCAGCAGTGAACAATTATCATTAAAAGAGAAAAGTAAAATAATTTTAAATAGCGAAGAGAATCGTAATAAAGTGTCTTCAATTTTAAAAGAAAATAATGTATTGGAACTACAGCGTCAGTTATTGACATACACTGTGGAAAATGAAGTTCTTCAAACCAAATTAGAACAGACACTACAGATTTATAGAACTAGAGTTTCACAATGGGAGAAATCAGAAACTATGCTGAAAACTCATATCAAACAATTGATGAAAGAGAAAGCCTTTTTGCATAAGAAACTGGAAGAAATGTCATATGAAATAACCACTACTAAAGCTAATAATAAATTACTCGAAAGAACTTTACACACCATGAGTCATAATTTTGAAATAAAGAGACCAATTTTAAAAAGTTTACATCAAAATGGGAAAATGAATGAGTCTGATATGTTTCCACATCATAATTTTACTGTGATGAAAGATTCCCAATTTTTAAATGATTATGGAGACAAAACACAATCTCTTCCAACTATTTTATTAAATCAAAATGACAGAATACACTATCCATTTAACAATAAACAAAAAAGCTATGACTGTGATGCTCTTCCAGAAATGTTAAATCATCAACTGTCACTGAATTATCAGAATGGCTCTGGTGTTAATGAAAACAAGCAATTAATTAATTTTAATGATAATGTTGACAATATCATGAAACATGTACAGTGTAGACAGACAATCTCCCACATTAAAGAAAATTGTGATAATTTCTATTTTACACCCATTCCAATCACAGAAATGGATAAAAGTTCCCCAAATAGGATTGCTCCTCATTCAGATCAGCATCCATCTTTAATTGACAGACCTATTGAAAGTGAAATTTGGAATAAAATTCCAAAATCAATAGAATCTAATCTTTCGGGGTCGGGTAATCGTGAAGCTTGTTACAGCAACGACTGGGAACAGCCCACACTAATTGATATTCAGAGCCCTGTTAAGAAAAATAGTTATCCATATTATAAAGATGACATGGATTTCGATAGCATCCGTAGCGAGTTTGATCCTCTTTCGACTAACAATAATGCTTCATCCAAGACCGAATCTCAGCACGAAATAATTGATTCCCTTAATCTTTACGTTTCAGGACAAAAACAACTGTCTTCGACAGGCGACAGCCTTCACAGTGCAAGTCTGGAACCAGGAATATCTTCAAAATTCATTCCTCAAAATAGAAAATTCAACGAACCTTTAGATGTGTTCATAAATTCTTCAAGAAGATATCCTCAAGTGTCCATCTTGCGAAATGGTAAAATTGGACAGTTAGAGAAGACCTGGCCTATTTCGTCATCTCGTCCCGACATGACAAAAAGTCTGACTGACCAATACGACTTAGGGAGTGGTGAAAACTGTCATTCCATTCTTGGTTTCATGTCTACAACAGAAGGTGAAACACTTTTATGAGACAGATAATTAAAGATGATGCAGTGTTGGTTTATCTACAGATATAAAATTGTAAAAAGTTTAGTGCAATTTGTGGTTTAGTGATAATTTTTTTTTTTTTTTTATTTGTTTTTGCTTAAAAATCAAGCAAACCAAAGATTTATTTTAATTTAAAAATAATGTGTAAATACTTATATATATATATATATATTTCTACACAGCTCATCTTGCATTTAGCATATACTGTATTTTGCAGCTATTCAGAATAGATAGAATTATCAAGATACATACAGTATAATATTTACATTTTTTTTCGTATATTCTTTATTTTGTATTATATTTGATTTTTATAGACTTTTATGAACTTTATTTCTTCCTCTTTTGAAAAATATTGATAATTGATTCAGGTTGTAATTAAATTTTGAGTATTTTCAAAATGTTGCCTATGACCTGTGCCTTTGAAAAATCATATTTAAAGTTTTTCTATGTTCATATGCTAAAATCAACAGTTATAGAAGAGTAAATTATTTCTTCCCAGTTATTTTGAGTTTCTTTTAAATTTATTTCCATTAAAGAAGTTTAGAGAAATTTTGAAGCACTATTAAGTAATGTTTTTCTTACTCTGATTCCTAAATCGTTGAGTTTTATAAATAATTTGTGACAGAACTGAAATTTACCATCTGAAATTTGTTAATATTTTAAATATATTCATATGTAGATAGTATGTGATAATCATAATTTCCAAAATGTGGAAAGATTCTTGCCTTAAGATTCTCTTAGGAGAATACTGTATTTTGAAAATATCCTAGTCAGTGGAGCAGTTTAACATATAACTCTTAAGGGACCATAATTCTGTATTTTGTCAAGTGTCGATACTTATGTAAGTACTTATGTAGAGCAACATGTTTGGTCATTTATTGATTACAGCAAGTGTTGTATCAAAGTAAGGAGAATTATTTAGTGCTTGGATAGAAACCATGTTTGTTTAATGGAAGGAAAGGTTTATTTGACAGTTTCATTTTGATTTGTTTAAGAACGACACACATTCAAACGTTCTGCAACATTTGTGCCAGAGATTAGATTATCTTGCACATGGATGCTTTATTGTATTAAAATTCTTCCCATATACAATACAATGTAATTGAAAACAAATGTGTGTGTATTTTGAAGAAGAAAAGTTGTTTAAAATGAAAATATTTATATTTGTGTCAGATTTTTTTTAAAATAGAAAAAATATATATATGAAATAATAGATCATGTTTGGCTTTTGAAATTTTATATTATTTCAATAATTGGAGCAAAAATAAATTGATGTTTACTGTTAGAGTTCTAATGAGTGTAAGATATCATTGATATAGAATGTGTATCACAAACAGAAAATTTTAAAAATTGTGTGACTAAAGTTCTCATATAAACCCGTGAATATGCAATTGAAACTTTTATGTTAATTTTATAGATGATGATTAATAAAATACATTGCAAGATATTGGAAAATTGTCTGAATTTTTTCCTGCTATATCTAATAGAAACAAGATGATACTTTAATTGTAATAAGCTCCACCCAATGATATGTCGTTCCTCAGCAAAGGGTACATTATATTGTATACAATTACAGTATTAGTTTTCAAAACTTGGTAAAGAAAAATTAATTTCTAACATTGATTTTTCACAAGAATGAATATTTTCAGAACAAATAATTCTTGACTGGTCAAATTAGCACATTTATTTTCCCATGAAAATCTTGATATAAAACATGATTTTCAGCAAGAAGCAACAGATATAAATTACAGTTTGAATACATTTATACACAAAATAACTTGCATGCATACTTTGGCATGCATTGTCGTCGAACATAAAGCGTCGGTATAAAAATCGGAATTTAACACAGTGTGATTTTAAAAACGGTAGCTTAACATCAAACTAAAAACATTGACGTAACAATAAAAATAAACAAAAACGAGTATTTTACCGGCAAAAAACAGTACAAATCATAAATAATTGAGCCATTGTTTCTTCAAAGTTGAAAATTATACACAATTTGGCTGCTGTTGCTGTTATTTTAAGTTCCAGTGCAATTCTTGCAGTTTAAATAATTCTCTAAAAGACGGTGCACTAATAAGCACAATTCACACCACAAATTTATATATGTATATATATTTATATATATTTATGTATTTATATTACATGAACGTTCCGAAGTTAATCCATTACGTTTACCAGACGAATGCGACAGCGATAAGAAACAAATGCTATTTACGGCATTTTTTTAACTCTGATCTTCAAAACAATTTACTAAATTCTTCTCAAAAACATTGATAAAGTCATAATTGGATGGCTAAAGGTGGACAAATAGTTGAAATTTTAGACAGTTCAGTTTCTTTGCCGTGGAAGAACCAGCTGTCTCTTACACAACACTTGCTTACGTACAATACCATTACATACAACAAGTAAAAATACTTTTTTGTTTTTCGATAACCCATCTAAAACCAAAATATTTACAAAAAATATCCTTCGTGCTATTTATATATATATTTATTCATAAATAAAATTTCGAGTCGTAAGGATAAACCTTGCAAGCAAATGGTAACCATCAATATTCGTTGTACTCATTGAAAATATGACAAAACTCGAAGACATGCTAATTATATGGGTGTAAGCTGTACATACCATCATGCACTGTACAATAACAAGACTAGATAGATACAAGAGTAAAAAAAAAATTCACAATGAAGAAATTTTTTTTAAGTAAGTACCTTTGCATTTTTTGGTGATTAATCTGCATGGATATATTTTCAATGGAACTAAATAATTTTCAAAAAATGCAAAGGTGGGTTTTTGTATGCTTATTTCATTTTCTTTTTGCAAGGTGATGGAGCTAGTTTCAAAACTGACCAGTGCAAATTAAGCTCCCCTAGTTTGTGAGTTAACTCAAATATATGATTAAATAAATACTATGCATTCATTGCGATTTCACCCAAACCATCAGTCTTGGATGTACGATGCTTCCAATCTCGCAATTTACAGTCCGTGTTTTACCGTTGACCACGAAGATGGCCTCGTTTGCCGTGGTTATCATGTAGGTACCGAAAATACCGGCACCGGAGATTGGTCGGTTTGTGTTTCCCCACTGCGCCACTCTCGGATCCATCGCTCTTCCGATGCCCGTTATCATTTCCACTTTGCCGTCTGCTAAATCTATGAAGAGAATGTCCTCTTTGGTGGCTGAACTGGCATAGAGATCGTAACTGTGTGTCGTGCGAGAAGGAAAAAATGTAATGTCGCTAATATGTAGTGTGGTCTTGACATCAAACAGAAACTTTGGACCTGAAAAAGTTTGTTAATTATAAAAACTTTTACATTAAAATTATATTTTTAATTTTAAACTATTTACCATCTTCTGTTATTTCTTGTGTCACAATTATGACACTGTTATTGCTGTTGTGAAGAGTGACGACACGACGAGAATCTGGTGACACTCTCGGACGACCAAACAGATTTACTTTGTGAGCCAGAACTGTATCTGTTAAGTAATCTAGAACAATTTGTCCAGTTGGTTTATCCGTGATGGGTTCAGCACATTCCAAAATCACAAAACCACCTGAGAAAATTAATTTTTAGTTATGCAGTAAGAAAATTTTTAACATTGTTGGGATGTTTAAAAATTTACCTAGAGAGGAGAAGTCTGCATTTTTAGGCACACAGTTGTATGGTGTCAAATCTACAGTTTTACTATATTTCATTGACTGTAGATCTAGCTTATACATTCCCCTCTGATTAGTATGGACCACATAACCGTACTTCCAACTGTGTTTGAAGTCTTGAGTAGAAGGAATGAAAAGTCCACTAACCTAAAATGACAATTAAATTTCAAGAATATGAATCTTAAATTTAATAATTTCCAAACAAAAAGTTTATTGGCAGAGAATACCAGATCAAAGTGACCGTCGACTGGCTCTGGATGAACAGTATGATGCTTTTTTTTCTGACTGGCATCTCTAATGATCTGAATGGTTTTGGTGCCTCGGTCCTGTGGTCCTCTCCAACATAAAACCCAAACTTGATCAAAATGTGGTACATAGTGCAAATCAATTGGGTATTTATCCGTCACAACAACCTGTATTAAATATAAGTTTGTTAATTAGTTATTGGATTAATCTATATCAAACTCAAGTAATTAAAACTTTCTTAAAAAGGTTTTGTAAAACTTACATCAACCACAACCATTTGGATGCGTGATATTATTAATATTCTGTCTTTTGAAGGTTGCGAAACATAGATGTAACGGTCAGCAACGTTAATGGCTCTACCCCAAGAACAGTTAATGCCTCTGTCTCCACATACGTATTCTTGTGTACCAGGGATTATGTCTGTGCTCTGAATCTGATGATACAGTCGACAGTTATCGGGATTGTACACAGACATTCCCCAGTCATGAAAGACAAAGAATCTGCGTTCTTCAGACAGTGCTAGAAGAATGTGACATATTAATCTAAAACTCTAAAAATATTTTTAAAAATAGTACAAAGACGTATTTAAACAGATTAATAATAATTATATCATATATTTTTGGATATAAATTGGACATTATCCGAATATTGTGGTAAACAGGGTTAAAATTCCAGGTCAGACTGATTGCTTCTGTCAGAATATTCTAAATTATTTAATTAAATTTCAAAGCACAAAATACCTTTAGACTAAATAATCTGGATTTTACATAATTATGAGCTAGAATTAAATGTATCTGTCCTATTTATTAGAAATGCTTTTTTAAAAATTGCCAGAACAAATTTACTTTTACAAAAAAAAAATGTATTTATTAATTTTATCATTGTGCCACTGCTAGAAGACTATTTTAACTTTTATGCATTGGAAGGCGGACGAGTAGCCTACAATAAAAGGTCGACTTTGCCATGGAATTGTTATTACCTCAACAGCGTGTGAAGGGACCAAATGAAATTGACTCATCCTGTATGTATAGTCTCAAGAAATATATTTTTTTGTAAAAATATTAGAAATGCTGTTATATCAAATTTTATTAATTTAAAAATTCACAGAAATAGTCTAAGAAATTCATGTTGTTCAGCTTATGTTTAAATATATATTGTACTATTTTTACACACATACAACATTATGTTATTTTTAACTATAATTTTTAAAAATCTACTAAAGAGAATTACTATAGTTCCAAACACAACTTCAAATACTGAAATCAATTCTGTGTTAGAGTTCTAGGCTAAATTTTTAATTTTCTAATAATGATGATAAACACATGATATAGGGGATAATTTTATGGCTCTGATAATCTTTCCTGCCATTCTCTTCTATATTCTGTTGAATAAGCTAAGCATAGAAATCATTTGAGTTAGCACTAATGTAGGTATCCCTCCATGTCAAAATCCAATATGATATCTATGTTAAGTAGAGATGGCTGTTAAAGCCATGTTAATTAAAACTTCTGCCACAAATATAAAGGGATTGCTACAATTAATTTTGCATAATAATCTTTTGATTATAAAATTTGTTCATATAAAAAGCAAATATTAAATGCTACAGAATGATTATAATTTTAAATTTGTATTACCATTTAATTATCTTTAAAATAATTCTCTTCTAATTTTATAAAATTCACCATGCAATATTTTCTCTAATCTGATGCAGGTCCTAATTCTCAAAAACCACAAGACCAAAAAAGTTTGTTGGCAAATATAATGCTTGCTTATATCTAACAATGTAATCCTGTGAACAACATCTATTAAAGACTGGCAAAGGATATGGAATAATAAGGAAACCAAACACAACAAAAACCAGAGAAGGCCAAATAGACATTAATCACAACAGAAGGATGTGTTGTCATAGGAGCCATAGGAGAAGTGACGCAAGGCAGGGCAGTAAATTAAATGTTCAAATCTAACATGCTAACATAATGACAATTGAATGAAATTAACTTTACTATGCATCATTTTATTTTAGCATAAACAAGTGTTTTTAGCTTATTTAATTAGCCATCACCAGGTTCTAACTGCATTATTTATCAAATTCTAGAACACTGATTCAAAAATTATTCAAATGTAGGATCATAGAATATATACTAAAATGTAGTTAATTTGAATATATTTTTGTCCTTGATTCTAATGCACGTTGTAATTTCAGAGACAAAGCTCTGCCAAAAAGACATGCTACATTCGAGTAACTACAGTAAACCAGCAATAACTTACAGTGAACTCTCAAAGGACTGAGATAAATTGTTCACTATATACATAAATAACAGCAAGGATCAACAAAATTGTTCACTATATCAGATGGTCACTACACCAAGAATGCACTCTAGTTCATTCTAATCAATTATACTCTTCAGATTTGTTCTTTTCAACATTTTTTATTACATACATATATATAATTATATATTATATACAATGGTGGCTCTTTCATAAGTACTACAGAGCTGCAGCCCCTCCAGATAATAAAACAGGAACTTTTATTTTATCACTATTCTTTAATTTTTATTTATATATATATATTATATATTTACTTACAATAGATAATTTATCGATTTTAGTTTTATTAATGATATAATTTTTTCAATCCATATTGATTTTTTTGTTTTTTACTTTTATTGCTGCAGCCTACAAATTCTTACGAGCAACTGCTGATTACATATTTTTCTCTTTAGTGATGAGAACAATTAATTATCAGTTCATTGTATTTAAAGAGTTCTAATAAAAATTTAGATTTAACATGATTAAACTTATATCTTCAATCTGGTACAATATCCTCTTATTATTACATACATTTCCTGAATATTTAGTTGAAACACTTAAAGAATTGTTTTAAGAAAATTATGATGTGAACTTAGATTGATTTGAATTTATTAACATATTAGAATAACACTTATAGTGGGGATTCTGTGGCCATTGAATTGAACAAGTAATATGGTATGGGCTCCCAAATTCCAAACTTGTCACAGTTTTTCTTTCTTTTGACATTCTCTTTGAGAATGCTTTGGAGCAATGTCAAACAGAATGTCTCTTCTCTATCTTGTAATAAATCTTCTGATAAATTCAACCCTATTTTAACTGATTTGTTAGAATAAACTTATTGACTTCTGGAAACTGTTAAGCATAAACTTATTTGGATTATTGACTGCATTAATTTTAAGATAAGCCGATCTTACAATAACATCTAAAAATGGCTACTGGAGACTCTAGTGATTCCTAAATATCAAAATAGAATATGACATCCAGAAGAACATAGAAAAAAATTAGAATCTATATAAAAAATAAAGAGAAATGTTCAGATAAGTTCTAACTAGCATGCATAGCACAAATTCCATATGTACAGTATACACTACTTAGAACTTAACTCTGTGGCCACGTACTGTTAGCAGTTCAATATTGCTTTACAGTTCTCGGAGAATATAAGTTTGATAACCAATGACAGATACAGTATTGTGTGTAAAATTATTTAATAATAGATTTAATGTGAAAGTAATTGTTCCCTTGGACATAGATAAATGTATTATATATTTCATTGACTTCTTGGATATTTTAACTGGTCATGTTCTTGCATTGCATACAATCAATAATTTTCTAAAAAATTCAAGTTATTAATTACAGTTCCAAATTGCAAAATATACAAAGATTATTCTTCTAAAATAATTTAAATCTAGTAATTTTTTATATTTATTTAAATCTCTCATGGTCAAACTGTGTGTTTCATTTTATGTTTAACTTTATTTTATCTTCAATTATAGTAAGACAAATGTTTGTTATTAAAACTGTACTCACTTGGAGTAGGCTGGTCTTGTACAACTAATGAACTTATGTCACGTGTTGTTCCTGCAGGATTAGTTGCCACACACATGTATGCACCTGTATCGCTATACATGATTTTTCCTACTACAAGAGCCGTGCTGTTACCTGCAAGTCAAATGTAATTAATAACATTGAAAATATATTATGAAATTTAACATCTTTTATTAACTAACTTGCCTATTATTTTGTATTTTTCGTTATTCATTTTTAATTCTTCATCGTTCTTCAGCCATGTTACTTTGGGCATTGGAATTCCACTCACGTGACATTCCATTTCCGCTAATTCTCCCGGAGCGTGATATTGTAACTTGGGAACAACATGAACTTCCGGAACACCTTTGTTGTGAGTAAGTTTATTTTTCTTTATCTTATATGTTTAAACTTAATAAAAACTTTGCAAAAAATATATATTAAAATGAACTTACTCTCTACATGTAATACATGAGTTTGGATGACATCCTGATTACGCTGTGCGTGGCATGTGTATTTTCCAGCATGTATCAGTTGTACATTGGTCAAATAAAGAGAACCATCAATAAAAACCTTTTGAGAAAACAATTATAATTGTAAAGGTTATTAAATATTATTTTAAAAAACCACTCAAGTTCTAGAATTATTCTATTCTAAATAATATAAAAGAAATTTCATTAATTGTTGTTTGTTTTAAAATAATTAACATACTTTAAAAATTATTTTAAAACAAACAACAATTAAACATACTTTAAAAAATCTTGAATGTCAAATATATTTTCAATATTCCATACATAAATCTATAAACTTACTCATGCATTATGATAAAGATAATAAATAGTAGTAAAAATATTATCTCCATTTTAATCAAAAATTCAAATTTGATTATAATTGCAATAGAAATTAAATGTTTTCAGGTCAAAAAACTTTTTTTATAATAGAAATAAATTGTAGATCAAATTTTGTTCATTTTTAAAAATTCATCCGATAAATTAATTTTACCTTTAAACAATCCTAAGACTAATAAATATGCATAAATTTCCAATAATAGAAACACTAAAATATAACACAACCATGGTATTAAACTGTAAATTTTTTTCCCTCATGAATTAGCAAAAGGTTTTTTTCAAAATGTCTTGTCTTTTGGCTGTTTATAAAATAGAAATTCTTACTTTAATCTCTTCTTCTGTGAGGACCGAAAGGTCCAAATCATTTCTTCTCCAGACAATGGGCGGCGGAGGAGTTCCAGTCACGTCACATTTGATTTCGACATTATCTCCTATCCGTGCAGTAACATGATTGATTTCTAGACCCTTATCTAATGATACCACAGAGACACCTGAATTTAAAAATCACATTATGGCATTAAAACATCTTATATTAATAATAATAGAAAATAAACTTAAATTTGTCTTAGCAACAACTTTTACAGTATTTTATATAATTTTTGCATTAATCAGTTGTTGTCTGTTTAGAGTATGTTTTGACATTACTAATTTACTTATAAGAAATTAGTAATGTCAAAAATAAATAGTAGTAAAAAGTAAGCAAGAAATTAATCACAATTATTTAAATTATGCATGCTTAAAAAATGTATAAATTATCCACAAAGAATCTCATCCACATGGTATAAATTATATTCTACAAGTTGCAAACATTATCTAAAATGGAAATTTATTGCATAATAATTTTTGTTAATTAAAATTTATATTCAAAGTAGTGTTTAGATTAAGTAGATAAAAAGTTTTCATGTATAAAACTTGAGAAAATTGCTTCAAGAGACCTGCATTGAGTTTGAGTAGTCTGTCAAATTTTTAAATAATTGATTTGGGTCAATTTTCTGCATCATTACTTGTTCACTTTTACTTAATTAAATATTGTGGTACAAATACATAGCTTAAAAGAATTTATCCAATTTGAATCGAGATTAAATATATATGAAAGACGTTCGAGGTTGCTTTTGCATTTATACATTTTTATTTAGTTTAATTTCAATAAATTTACATATAAAGTAATTGGTAGTTTAAATGCAAATCGAATGCGAGCAGGTGCCGAGTCAATCAATAGTAATTATTCCGTTGCAAAACGAACGGTTCTATTAGCAGAGCAACGAAAGATTGGACAACTTACTGTATAACTTACTAAAAGCAAGATAGAACTCGTTGATGTTTAATTGTCCATCGTGATCCGTGTCGTCGAACAGCAGCATGTCCGCCAGGATGCAGAACGTCGACAGCTGGCCGAGGTGGTCTTTGGCGGCTGCCTGCCAGAGTTCTTCGGCCTCCAAAAGTCCATCGTTATTCTGGTCGTAATGGGAAAACATAATGCTCACCAGGTACTCATTACCTAAGAAAACATGAGATTTAACATTAAGAATAATTTGTAGGCAGAATAATAAACAAATAATTGATCTAGATTAATGCAGATTTGAATTATGTAGAGTATGGTATGGCATAACGTGCAAAAGTTGTAAGAGAAAAATAATAAGTTCAGTTCCCTCCAGAGTTTGACGAACTTCCATGTGGTCAATAAATTATAAATGTTTGAAAAATTTATAATTCTCTCTCTATCTTAAAAACTGTATAGTATGACTTGTTTAAAAATTTATTTTAATTACATCTCAACACCTAAAAACAAGATTAAGCATCACTTTTTAACTAAATTGGACTTTTATAGAAAGAAAAACTTTTTTGATAAAGAAAATATAACAAAAAAATTTAATTACATTATCAATTTTTAAAATATTTCAAGAACGTTAGAAAAAGTCAACATTAGATATCTTACCCAAATTTTATTGAAAGTTATTAAAATTTCTATATATTTATTTTTTTTTTAACTTTTTTCATAAATTTTGTTCTATTTTATTTTTTAATAGTATATCCTGTGGAAATTAACTTTAAATATTTAATAAAATAAACTTTAAATAGTAAATATAGTTTTTACACAAAATTACTTAATTTTTTTCATTTGTATCTTTTAAACATCTATCAAATGCAATATTACAATTACAGTTTATATTAAATTACCTCGATACATATAATTCATTTAACATTATTTACCAGATTTTTTATTATCCATGAGTTTAGCATTATTGTAAAGTAAGAGATTCTCCTTCATAAAATCGTATTCGTCTTGGGGGCAGTCTCGATCGCTGACCGTTTCAGTCGTCGTCGAGAGCTGCATCTCCGGCTGCGGTAGATTGGTCCAGGAGGTGGGTGCTTCGGTCTTCTTTTCGTGGTCGGCATCGTTCAAGATCTCGGCTGCGTGACAATTTAAGAGAGTGTAATTTAATAAATTACACTTTACTAGATATTACAAAATCATGCAAATTAAATAAAAATGCTAAATTTGATTAATAACTGTATAATTTAATAGAAATTTATTATTGTCGAAATGATTTAAATAATGAAGGAGAAGACAAAGTGACAAGAGACAAGTTAAGTAATTTATGTCTTGTTTATAAAAGCAATTTAAATTTTAAGAAGGAATTTTTAAAAACTGGATAAATGTTGGCAACAAAATGATGACTTTTACATATTCTATCTTTTTCGTGTTCTATTCGATAAATTATCATCAACAAGAATTAAACGTCACAAATGCTGGTGTTTTGATAATTAATCCTTTAAAAAAAAGTCTATTATAAGCACATAATATAAACAAGTATGACAAAAAAAATCAAAATAATTTCTCAAGAGCACTTAATGAGGGGGAAAACAAAAATCTCTCCAGTGTTTCACCAAAAGTTAAACCTTTCTAAACTCATATATTCTCCTATATTAAATTAATCTTTCTTGAAATCATGTCGTCCGCTTGATTTGTACATTAAAGAACTTTTCATCTCCATTACACTCCATTCATTTTTCTACTAAATTATCTTTTTTTCTTCTTCTTCTTTTTTAAGTAATTGAGAAAGGCTGAATTTGAAGTTGAATATATTCTGATTAATGAATTCCTAAAGAACTTGATATTATTATTATTTTTTCCCTGGTAAGTAATAAAACTATAAAAAAAATTTTATTTTTATAAAAATTCTAATTAAAAATTAATCTTGTATAAACTGTACTAGATTTTTTTATTCCTTTGTATTAAATAATTTACTCGTGACAAAAAAAATATAAGACTATATAATGGCAAAAACAACTCAGATAACTTTTATTCTAAATATCCAAACAACAATTTCTTATGACAATAACTAATTTTCAAACAGAATTCAGTTAGTTAAATATTCATTAAAAATTTGAAAAAATAATTAAAAATTTTTTGTTTGTTCTTTAAGTTAACAGAAGCACTGTTCTAAATTAATAATTTAAAATAAATATAAAATAATGAAATATGATCCGAAGTTCATAATAAGAAGGTTATGGTCGGTATTTCCAATCATTTTTATTCTTTCTTTCCTCTTGTTTTTCTGTTGATAGAAACAAAAATAAATAATTCCATTTGTGTAGAAAAACAAACATTGACATACAGTAAAATGAAACAAGATACCAAAGAACAGAAAACTGATCTTTTAAGACAAATAAAATATTGAAAAAGGAAACAACTTCTTAAAAATTTTATTATATACATCTTTCCGTTTTATCTTCTGTGGCTACAGAAGTCTAATCATATTAAGATAATCCAATTTACCTCTTTCAAAACTTTTTTATTAATTTATTAAAAATTTTTTAATATAAAATGTAGCAAATGAGACAAATCATATTGAGGTGTTTGCAGGGAAATATATATATATATATTTTTTTTTCCTGGCATAGAATGCTATATAGTTTACTTGTACAGGCACCAATTGACTGATGCCTTCATAAATTTTGATAGTTTCTCAAAGACTGTTTTCTTCTTTCTGCCTTATAGCATATTAATGAGTTATAACTCTACAAAATATCATTTCGACTCTATAATTTTATTTGTAACAATATGGTTACAGTTCTTTGACATATGAAATTTTATCCAATAACATGATGAGTTATTAATGAAATGTTCTCAGACATTAATTATTTCTGATATAAATCTCCTTTCCAGATTTGATTAAGATAAGCTTACTAAAAGGAAGAAAAATAAACAGCAGATGAGAAATATTAATCTAGAACAGCTGCCTATCATTCTTTTATATTTATATAAGCCTCGTATTTAAATAAATATAATTTCCAATGATTAATATATTAGTTTTCTCTACTTTTAAATAGTTCATTGCTTGTTAAATGTCTTGGGATTTAAAGAATGGCATTTATAATTCAATATTTTTTTCTATTTATATAAGTATTGATTTTCTGGTCATTTTCTTTGAATAGAAAAGAATCAATAAATGTTTCTCTAAGTTAAAAAATAATTAACGAAAAAGAAAGTAAAATTAATCTGTATTTAAGATAAAATAATATATTAATTTTATTATTAATTATTTCAGAACTAGAAAACCAGATTCGGGTTCTCGACATCTCTCTTAATCACTTCTGTAATTACGAAGGAATTATTAATTTGAATTTTTATATATAAATATAATCAGCATTACAGATTAATGAGTTAACTTAATTTAATCTAATATATATGGGAATGGAACTGGAGATATAATTTAATACTAATAAAGGTGGAAACATGGTAATATTAAATTTTTATACATTAATCAAATGACTTTATTAATACTGTAGTTAAAAATATAATTTTATTAAATTCTGTCCAAGAAAAACAGAAATAATATATTAATGTAATTAATTTTATAGAAGTTTCATCTACCTTTCTTAGAACAGTCTCCTTTATGGTCAATTGTAAGGGTTTTTCCAGTAAGGCATGAAGCCCTATGAAGTTCGCAGTGATTAATGTAATATTTTCCATCGGAACCGCAAATTGGCTTCTTTCTTTTCTTGCAAAACCTCTGACAGACACAGACTGCTTCGCCCAGTTGATTCACTTCACACTGTCTACCTCTTCCGCAGACCGTAGTGTCACAGGGATCTAAAAATACTTAGTGTTAAATGGATTATCCTACTTCTGTGTCATCTATTCATTAACAAAGTTTCATTAGAACAAAATTATATGAGATAGCCCCAAATGTTTTTAGTCCTTTACACTCATCTTCAGAGAAAGTTTATAGCTTGTGTTCCCTTGGAGATAAATCTATTTAAGACTCTTATATAATTTTGCTCTAATGAAACAGTGTTAAAATAGATTTTGATAATTTTTATGCTTAAAATGTGATGAAAGATGATTTTATTAAATTAAAAGTATAAAGGAAACACATCAAACAAATAAAATTTAAGATAGGAAAATAAATTATATTCATTTTACTCAAAAGATGATAATTACTGATGTCTACATTCCTGTTAAATCCTTAGCTTGAATATTAGTTTCATTTATTGATATTTTCCTCTTAATTAAAATGAAGAATAAGTTAATTATCTTGTAGGACATTGTCTAGAACAGAATACATTTCAACACCCCAGCAATATCATAATTTCAACACATTTACATAAGTTAAATCCTTACTATAATATTTTACTTAAGTTCTTTCAGAAAATTAAATAATATAAGCTAAATTATATGCAGGAAACTTTTTAGATGTTAGAATTTTCCATTAAAGATTATAAAATATATACTTTATTTTTTCCTTCTTCTAACTGTAATGAATAATAATATTAAACTTTCTTTAAAAAAAAAGGGCAGTTTTTAAACTATAATTCAGTATTAAAAGAAAATCTATTGCACTTTAATGTAAGCTTATCTAAACTGATAAATCAAAACAGTAAGTTATAATAGAAGAAAGGACTTTCTCTCTCTCTCTCTCTCTCTCTCTTATGGTAATAGAAGTAGAAAATACAAAAAGTATATAGAGCAGCAGCGGGGACGTAACAAATCAATACAGATGAATTATTATCTCGATAAAACGTATTGCAAGATTTTGTGAAGTACCAAGATGATTTTAACGAAAATTGAGGAGAAATAACTCAGACGTAAAACAAAAATTGTTCCAAAGTAGGATGGATTTTTGGGAGTTATATAGTGAAGACCGCTACCAGAAAATAATGTTTTGGAGGAGAAGTAAGGGAGAAGGGGAAAAAAGTTAACAATGGAGGGGGGACTTTTTAAAGGTTTAAGAAGAAAAAACTTCACTAAGTTTCAAAATAAAAAAACATTATACCTTCCGATTTAAAGACGCGGTTCGGCGTTTTTATTACGTTAATCGACGTCGCCCAGTTTTAAATCCGATTATAATATTCTTCGATTGTCATTTAAATTTCGACTTTAACGTATTTTTTACTGCGCATTGTTTTGCCGTCTTTTTTAAAGAAAAATTTACCAATTAAAATCTAAAATTTGAATTTAAAAATATGACCAATTTAGAGCTATGCATACAAGAAAAGCTTTACCAATAAGAGAGGTGGAAATTTTAAATTCGAATTTCTGCATTGTTACGTCAAAAATGGCCAATTAGTCGCGGTGTTTCAAATTGGAAATTAATTATAATAATTTATGTACGACCAATAGGAAGATTTATTTACTTTTACATTTAAAAAAAAAACAAGTTGAGCTGTAGTAGGGAAGACATTTTAAATTTAAATATTTATCGATTAATAAATGCTTTTTGCTATTAATTTTAACGATAGTTAACGACTGGAGGTCTGTAATATTTACTTTTGGATATACTTCACGAGACAGAATACCAAACAAACGAGCTAAACTCATCTAAACATTATTCTACATTTATAATGTTTAATTTATGGTGTTGGAGTAATAAATGGTTTCTAGTATTGAACTAATGAGTTCGTGTTTAATGATGGATTCTCTCTTCACTTATTCCATTTAGAAATCTATTCCGGAAACTAATCGTAATCATAAATTAAGTTTTCAACTGACTTCGTATTATTAAAAGTTTGAAATCCTGTACATATTTCTGCTCTTTTTTCCTCTTTAATTTATATTCAGTAAAGACTTCGTAAGCTTGAGAATGTTTTTAAAAACTGCACTTTACTAATAATTGCTGAAAAAAATTCCATACAAGATAAAATTTATCGTGAAACAATATCCTCATTCTTTCAGAAAATATCGCAAACCAAAGCTCCTTAGAGGAAATATGAAGAAAATAAAAAGTAAGAATCTCTAGATGGATAGCCAAAGGCAAAAATTCCATCTGGAATGATCCTTTTGATATCCTTTGCCAATTCTTCGTGTGTCATTTCAACTTTAGAAGTTGTCATCTACATTATAAGTAATGGTCTCTGTTCCTTTATTGTGCTTAGGTTACTACTGTTTGATCACCCTGTTCAAACACTCCGATTCGTTCCGACACAAGAATGCAATGTAGCTCCCAAAACCCGTCATTAGCCTTAAATAACTACCTATTAAATCTCGTTTACAGATGAAGTTAGTAGGGACACCTAGGGAATAAGCAATGCCAAGTTCAAGATTGCTTCTACTTGTATAAACGATTAAAACGCATCCGTTAATTGATCAGGAATCGTCTCATTGGTTACTCTCTGCAGTGTTTAAATTAAGATCGTTCGCTAATTGGTCGTTACTTAAGAAGAAATTCGTTGATTAGTTCCCTACTTAAAAAAAATCCACTTTACTATCGTAATAAAATTTCATTTTAGACAGCTTCGAAGATGAATCAATTTCCTTTAAAAATTTTATTGCCGATTGGTCAATTTCCAAAAGTTTAAAATTCGAAAACTTTTTTATTATTACGTCATGTAATATAAAATAATCTATTTTTACTTCATTGTGACGCACGCTTTTAAATGAATCGATTTCACAAAACCCAATCGTTTTATTGGCTCATACACTTTTTAAAATTTACTTACGTCAAATAGCGTAGACACGCCCGATTGGTTATGACGAAACTCTTATTGGCCGAGAAACTGATTATGCGTCATTAACCGTAAGCGTCTCTATTGGTCGTTGCGTATAATGAATTTTAATATGATTGGTTAATTTAAAATTTTAAATGCTGGATCACGGGGTATATAATTTAAAATCATCTTATTGGTTGTAAACACACTTCTTGACAGTTCAATCGAAGTAAGAGCTAAGATGCAGTAGCATCACGTAAACTCTTTGTCTCGACTGGTTTTTCTATCAACAAGAAAGCTATTATTTCAAAATCGAATCTCTTAACTTTATATTTATAAAAGACTACACACAGCTTCTTCAGCCGTGTTTGTTTGTGTATGTGTGTGTGCAGTCTTTCTTGTCAAACTTTAACACGACTTCCGCAAACAGCGTTCGATCACAAAATTGGCAAGAAGCCACCAACAAGCACGGAACTACGAGAAACTATCAGAATTCTTAATAAATCGCTAACTGTTAAGTAATCCGAGCGTCTTGGAGAAGTGCAGAAGATTTAAAGATGGGCAACAATATATGAATTTGGATAGGAATATAGAGAAGTAGCGGAATTACATCACGTGAAGCTGGAGCGTATTAACGAGTTTAAGTGTCGGAGGCGATGTCTTATGAGCAGCCATCCGAATAATGCATTATCTCGGGTCAGAGAAAGAATGAACGCTTGAATGACTCACCAGTTTCGGGAGAAAGTGCTTTGGTGGCAGAAGTGTCTTCGTCTCCTTCTTCTAAGTCAACGTTCAGGAAAGATTCTCCTTCGTTGTCCACGAAGTTGTCACTGTTTCGATTATGTCGAGGCTGAAAACAATTAAAAAATTATATAATTGTCTGGCTGTAGATAATCTTAGGCAATGACATAATCTGGTGATTAACCCAAGCAAGCATCACGTCACCAAGCAAATGACCCTTTCTATTAATCCCGCGATCATCTTAATGATATAATTACCGAGATAAATCTAAAGATATCCAACCGATCATGTGATCTGTGCAGAGATCCTGCATCAGTAACCTAACGATCAATCGATAACCTAAAAATTATTAATTCAAACATTAAACAGGACCGAGAATAGAGATAACAATTAATAATACAAGGATTATTACTGTAAATATTAAAATTCGTTAAGCTTTCTGGACCATGAATAAGCAACAGATAAATAATAGAACCGTCGGAATAATTGCACCAATGCTATATTTATCATTTGCTGAATAATTATTAAGGTTATTTAATGATTGAGATATCGGAAACATGGTTCTGGTCATCACTCTTGTGTCAACCAAACATTCGCATAGCTCGCTAGTTTGATATTCAAACATTTATCTTGCTCGTCTCTACTTACCATCTGCAATTCTAAAATGAGAAATTATAGCAGGTGGATGAAATTTCCAAATATTTAATCCTTAAATGCAAACAAAACGTGCGCTTTAATTTTCGCGCTTTGAATTTTATATTGTTTAATCCTTCCCTTCAATAAATGGATTTGCAGAATATCCTAAATCGCCTTTAAAATTTAATTTAGTCGATTTGTTTAAGAGAATTTAACAACGTTTTTATTAGCAATAATTAATTAATTCATACTCTGATCGGTTAGAAAACAATTTTATCCAAATTATGAGTCTCTCGCCGTTCATTGGTTAATTTGAATTCAAAAATCCGATCGTTAATTTCAATAATTTCACTTATTGGTTATTTCCAACATTTAAAATTCGTTTAGTGGCCAGTTTAAATTTCTTGGGATAGGTTTTATTGGTTCGTTTAAATTTTGAAATTAATACGACGTTGACCAATCAGTACGATTGATCAACGTCGTATTATTCGTTTTAAAAACAAACTTTGATCAGTTTTATCGAATCGAAAACAACTACTCAATGGAAATTTTCTAACTTCAGATGATTTTAATGTTTGCATTGGACTATTTATTCTTTTTAAATTGAAAATTTAATCGCTTATCTATTAACTGAAATAATCCCCCAAGAAAAATAGCCAATCAGCGATCGACTTTCAAAAAAGTTCATTATTTAAGAAAGAAATTAATACGTATTAGCAACAACGATTGGTTAATAAGTACTTGGTTAACTAATTCAATTATTAAATTAATTTTTTAATGGAATATTCGAATTGCTTTTGCTACAATAAAAAAATAAACTAAATACAAAAAAAAATAATTTAATTTTTACAATACTTTAATTAAACCGAATGAAAGTGTTACATTGGTAAGAAGGAAAAAAATTTATTGGATGCTGGATAAACATTTTTGCATGTAGAAAAGATGGTAATCTTATTTTGAAAGCTGCAGATTCGACAATTTGACGAGTTCAAAAAAAATCAGATTTGTGGTAGACGACAGTTTATACATTCGGCTGATGGTACTTAATGAAACTAAATTAGTTTGATAAGAGGCAAGAGCCAATAAATCATCCAAAATACCATCAATCTAAAACTGTAACGATTTCTTATCTGAAGATAACATTATTACCAACATACAAAAACTTAACATCCACATATAAACGTTTCCTGAATAGAATTTAAGTAATTTTAATATTAAATTCTGATAGAATTCATAAAGTAATCCAATAAAATTATCGACCAGATGACGATGTTTACATAAATGTCTACGTGTCAGTTATGATGACCCAAATGTCAGTTAACCGTTTTATTGTAGCTTCGATGATGTTCCATAAACAATTTATAGCGTATTTAGTTACTTTTTGTTTCGTGATCTGAGTAACAGTGTGTGTATGTACGGAGGGCGGCCCAAAAGTCAGTTAACGTTCCAAATGAGATCTTCAATCTATGTTTTATAAGCAATTTATAAGCAAGACATTCTCATACATTTTCATTTACATTTTCTGGTTGTCTTGATCTAAGTAACAATCTTTGTTAACTGAGTTATGGTCCACCCTGCATGCATATATAGGCCTATAAATCATTTATTATTATTTAGTAGTTTCTAAAGTTCTCTTGTGAGTTGTTCGCGTTTGTAGGAAATGAAAAATTGAATACAAAATTTTTAAATTTAAACAGCGTAATTCGTCTTTTATCAACGTTAACGATTTTCGTTGCGTGTAAGTTGGTGAGTACTTTTTCCTTTTCCTTTTTTTTTTTCAATTAAATTTTTCTCGCTAATTACTATTTATTATATACTTTATAAAAATCTTTATAAACACATTTGTGTCTTATATATTCATAGACTTATTGATTATTTATAAGAAGTTTAATATTTTATATTCAAACCTTATATACTCTTACACTTTTTTATATATGTACTAAAGACTGTTAAGCTTCGGGAATGGGCCATTTACATATAAGACACATACGCTAGAACGGTATAAACGAGTTTTATTATGGTTTAAAATTCTGTTATCAACTCTTATTAAAGTTTAATTTTTAGCCGTTCCGATGTTAAACGATTATACTAAATAATCTTAGAGAAACGTGCACAGTTTTCGTTTATTCTGCTGTAATATTTAAAAGATAAATCGTTTTATAGCTATCTTTTCCTAGTGAAATTCTTGATATATAATTATTCAAATCAATAACCATAAATAAAGCGCTTACTGTACGTGCGTGCGTGTGCGTGTTAACGTTGTAACATTCATTCGAATATAATTTTAATTCCGTTTTATTTTAGATTAGTTTTTTCTTCTTTTGTAGGAGGGATTTTCGAGAGATTAAATATATTATAACTTAACTTAGCTGCTGTATATAATAACATATATTTAACTGAGAACAAATTATGTTTACATTTGCATATATTCATTTTATTTTTTAACAATAGTAAATTGTAAAATGAAAAAATTTAAGATGTGCTGCTGTTTTAGAAGCATTTCTTTTGATTTATATTATATTTANCACTTTAAATAAAGTTTTTAGACTTAAAAAAATTACATTATATTATTTTTACATATAGAAAAATTTATATATAAAAATAAAACCGTAAAGTTTAAAGATTTATTATAAACACATTAACGAAATGCCTGGAAGACTCTAAATAAATTTGAAAGCCACACAGGAAAAATTTCAGATACGCCTTCAAGGTATAAGAGGGGAAAAAATGTATATTAATAAAATATCGTTAATTTAATTAATATTTACCAAAGTGTTATACGTAATTAAATTACAGGAAAGGTTTATTTTATAAGAAAAATAATAACGAAAGTCTTCTTTGGCTAATTAAGTCTGGTGTTAAGTAAATAAAACTCATCGTAATGGTTTCCACGTCATACACGATTTAATTGCGCTTCCCATTAGCGTAATAAATGTAACGTTTGTTATGGTTACACGTCAAAACGGTCCTACAAATGTCATTATATCTTGCTGAGGTGAATGGCAAAAATTCCTCGACTCTACCTCAATTTAATGAACTCGATCGACTTGCAAAGCTCGATCTTTCTCTACTTACATAATAAGATGGATTAGATTTATGATTTTCTCTAACTAAATTACATTTGTTGTGGTAATGGTAATCAAATATTCAACGTATCAAACGTGTCATTTATCATTGTTTATGCGCGCTTTTTTTTTGTATTGTTAGGGTAGATTTTCGGTTTTTAACCGCTTAAAAAATAATTAACGTTTAAAGATAAACAGCTTTTAACGACTAGCGTTTAAATATATATATTTTTTAATACCTATTTAGTTATAAAATTTATAATAATTAAAAAAAAAAAGCGAATTGCGCGATCGAATTCAAGATGGCGACGACTATTTTTATTTCTAACCTGCGAATATTAACCAATTGTGAAGTCTTCTAATATTAAGCCAATAGAAATTATTGATATTATTTAAATCGTGACATACTGTTTTAATTATGCATTCAAACAATTTCGATAAATTGCAAATTTCGATGATACTCCAAGGGATTTAATGTGTAAAATTCGTTTAACTCGATCCACATAAGTTAATTCGAAATTGGAAGAGAGTCTCTTAAACAGAAATTGTGTTGTTATTCAAATTCTTGTACACTTGGGAGAGATAAATTCGCATTAGCATGAGTCTGACACGTCATGATAAATTCTTTTTTTCCTTTCTTTTTTTTCCCTCTTCCTCTTATTGGAATATTTATAGTCGAAACAACTCAAGACAAGAAAAATCTTAAATAAAAATATGTAAAAATGTATTTTACAAGTATTTTTCCCTGCGCAGACAAAAGAATTATAAGGGAAAAGGAATTTTATATAATATTTTCGAATTGAAAGAATGGAAACTACTGTAATTTGCCATTATTTTTAGAGGAGAAAGTGACAACACCAATTAGGACAAGAAAACCGAAAATAAACTAATTACCGATAACAAAACTTCTAAACTTTATTATTATTTTTTTGTTTTTGTTAAGAAAATTAGATTTAAAATCCATCTAAAACTTCTTTATTACATATAAAAGTGTTTTTTTTTTAAGAAAAATAAATTTTATTTTTTATCTTACGATTTAAAAAAAAACTAGGAAATTTATTTATATCTATAACGAAGTTTACGATTATAGCGAGAGTCCATTAACCGGTAATTTTCTGACAACACAGATGGCTTGAAAAGTTACCATTAGGAAAATAACCTTTAAAGTGCCCCTTGATATCAAGCTTTTCTGCATTTACATAAGTATCGAGGAGAAAACAAACTCAAAGGGGAAAAGTGGAAATAACAGTATCGAAACACGGCGAGTGTCAAATTTCTTTTTTCGCCCAAAGGGACCACGACTTAATTTAGCACATCCACCGAGATGTGTGACAACAGCGGTAACCATAGCAACCGGACGACTTCGACTTGGAGTAAAGGCCTCATTATCTTAGAGTGATCGTGTCCC